TTTTAGATTTGTTGCCCCCCTTCTTTACTGCAGCTTTCCCCCTAGCCATACTCGTTCTTTTCTCTACCCCCTCCAAGTACTTAATTGTTTCCTCTTCCAAGCCTTCTAGCGAGATCCCCAGAAACTTTCCTAATCCCATCAACTTAGAAGAAACCCATGACGAATCAGAAGCACTTTCAAACTGCTCCCCTACCTGGTTCGACCGATCCATTAACAGATTGTTATTCTTCTGAGACTGCCCAACTGTGACAGCAAACCTATCCGTAACACAGAGTTTGCTACCTCCCACCTATGGCCCAGCACCCTCAAGAATAACTTCACCACCTGCAATTTGAGAATCTGCAGCAACCATCAATATCGAATCCACCTCCATCAACTCCTCTTCCTCTCTCAGCACTGCTAGTTGGTTGGACTTTAGCTGAGTCTCGCCTGCCAGAGCAGACGCTTGGGAAGGCAAAGGTTTCACAACCTCAACACCAGGATCTAAAACTCCCTCTCCGCCCTTCTTCTCCCTACAAGCAACAGTCCCCCTTCGTTCCTAAGAATCCCGAGCCTCCCCAGAACCCACACCCTGAAGACCACCGCCAACCTGAGGATTGAAGTCTGGCATCAGGTTCGTCCTTCGAACAGAGGAGAGACTAGACTCAATATAACCATTAAGCCCAGACCCAGCTTCCAGAATAAAAGGTTGAAGAGTCAGTTGGGCTGAATAAAGCATTCCAGGCCCATTAACTTCATCCAAAGTCCCATGGGCCCACTGAGACTCGAGTGGGGGAGGCTGACAGCCCTTCTGGCAATTCTCTGGCACACTAACTTCCCTAGGGGCCAGTTGGAGCTCTGCAAGGCATTCTCTATTTAAGGCTTTACTGGCCTTAGTACCCCAAGCCTACCCGCTGCCCCTCATATTTCAATTTCGAATCTCCTTCACAGTTGGATCCTGGGTAAACCCATCTATACCATTCGAAGTCACCAACATCGGACGGCTCAAAAGAACCCCCAAACCTGCATCTTCTTCTCTATCTACGATCACCGGAGAAGCAACTCGCATCTCCGTCTTCTGATACCTCTCTGCTACTGAAAAACCGGGAAGCTCACTTTCACCAAAATCTTCTAGGATTAACGTTTTGGAGCAGTTCGAACTCTCCTTGTCTTCTTTAAGGACATCGTGAGACAGCCCTTCTCCACCTCTCCAACTTCGAACAGACGGCAGAACTTCTTGCCAAATCTGAACCGTGAAGACCACTTCAACCTTGCTCGGAATTTAGTTTCCCCTGCGGATTTTCATTCTTACCCACTCGCAGGTCGCAATCTCCAACGGGGAATTGTTCATCTCTAATAAAACCCCCACAAGCATCCCCAATAGCCTTTATGACACTTGGACACTAGAGCAGGAGTGGCAGGCCGTAAACCCTAATCCAGCATGACTCCAAGTCCTCTCCTACTTCAAAGGGATCAGGGTAATGGCATCTCGCACTCGCCCCCCCACCAGTCCAGCAAAAGGGGGTTTCTTCCCATCTGCCACAGACCTTGTCTTAAAACCCAATCCGCACCAGCTCTTGACGGACAAATAAAGAGGAATAGACCATCTGCCATTTTCTTCACTCTCACACCCCCCACCTCTCTCCAGACGCCGTTTGCCCACCTCTCTACCACCTTAATGTCCACCCCCCATCGGAACCTACCCACCAAACAGTTCCTCAAAAACTCTCTTCTCACGGTCACCCCCTGAGGATCCGTTGCTACCACCCTATTACCATTAACCCGTTTCACCTCTGACGCCCCAAAAGTAGGCCAAACCCCCGCCGCCACCACTTCTCTATAAGAAAGATTGCATCTTACCCTCCCTTCGTTCTCCAATCTACGGTACTAGGCAGAAGCTTCCCATCTTCGCTTCCCCCCACCTGCTCTATTATAAGAGAATTTGCGCTCCATCAATAACTTCAGGAAAGAGACCCTTCACCAGCGAAACAGACTGTAATCAACGCCATTCGAACTGAAAAGCGATTTTTAGCATCACCTATCAAAAAAGTGATTCTCACAAAATTCATCAGAATTGATGTTTTGAAAGCATCCCAAATACAGCCTTAGTATCTCTGGTACTTTTTTGCATCTTCTGCAAAGCAATAAAACTCTTGCTTCCACCCCATAGAAAAAAAGGTTCTCTGTAACTTCATCGATAGAGCCACAACATTAATATAGAAATCAACCAGGGTTGCTGCCATCCACGGTGTCAATAGCTCTTTGCGGAAAGGAGAACCATCACTGACCAGGGCTTTTAGTAAATGAGAGTCGCCAGCATCAAGCAACCCAACAAGCTGAACAGGGCTTTTAGTGCATTAACGGTCAAAACCGCCATTGCTGCTTACCATCACGTTAATATTGGATCTATTAGCACAGAGTCGCAGACTAGTCTGAATTCTGCCAATCAAAGATGAAGAAGCAGAACAGCTGAAAACTTGAACTTAACTTTTTTGGCAGGAAGCCAAAAAGTTTTGCAGGTGAGAAAAGTCCACGCCATCAGAAGTCTAGAAGGTCCAAAACTGAGTCCACGTGGCAAAAGTGAGCTGTGCGATCTAGTATCTGTGTCTGATTAGATAAAGCCCGTTCGATTTCATACATTTATGGAAGTGGAACAAAGGCAACCAACATGCAAACTGGTCCACTTATTTCAATTCCCAATTTGTCCCTAGTTCTTACAATGCATTGGCGTTTAAGTGCACGCTTTTGCTGAATAATCGGCAGGCATCCTTCATCAACGTCTAATCCACACTTTTACAGTTTGGTCATGAGCTAGTTTCCAACTTTTCATTCTTCAATGCTGGTTTTCCAGCACATGGGTGAGGCTTTCAATTCAATAAATTCATCAAGTAACAGAGTAAAGAATGATAAGAGCTTTCAAAGGTTCATTAATGCCATTGGAGAAGGCTGTGATTAACTGATTATAGCGTTCCAATTTGCAAGATAAACAACTTCGCTCCTCCACTGTAAACAAAGCAGAATGAGCATATTCAAAGTCTTTTCTTATCCTATATGATTTTTGCTGCAACAAACAAATTCAACCCGTCCATGCAGCATTGAAGGCGAAGGTGGGAAAGAGGAAGACTGGAAGAGAACAAAGGCTGAACACATGGTGAGCTGACGAGCAACGAAGATTCTGAAACCAACTTCGTAGTGATGGTGTTGGACTGATGGTCACAATGGCTAGATTCCTTATTGATAACTTAAAGAAAAATCAACAGGGAAGCCCAAACCCAGAACCAGAAGATTGGCACTGCTAAGTGTCCGTTTGAAGGGCTTTCACGCAGAAGCTTACAATGTTCCATGAGCTGAGAAACCCAGAACGCCACGAAGCTGTGTTTGTTAAAAACCCAAGCTAGAATTACACTTACAGAAACCACAAAACCCACTTTCTGGTGAAGCTATCTCACATAAGCCTTCCCAAATGGGCTTAACACAAATACAGCAGATTCCATTCAGTAGTGTTTTCCATTGCTAAACAAAGTGTGATGCAGACGTTCACAACCCACACCCACAACCAGGTAATTAATAGTCATTGGAGTACTTCCTTAAAATGCAAGTACCCATGCAAAATTAATCTTTACCACTATGTAGGGGAATCTTCTGCATCGAGTTTTCATTGATGAAAAAAGACTTGAGTAAGTAGGTATGCACTATGCACTGCCCCTGCCACAGTTTGTTGCTTCTAGTTCTGGGATTGACCACTCCAGAATTTATTACTGAATCCAGTATATCCGGCCAAAATGCCAAACTACAGGTCCAAATTATTTATATAGAACTCAAATAGTATCAACAATCAAACTATAGCATATGGTCAGCAAAGACAACTGGTGTTTGAGGACTGGATTTTGTCCTCATCAACAGATAAGAGTTCAATTTTGATGGCTGTTCATTAGGCAACTTGGGACCATCAGTAATTGGAGGTGCTTTAGGGGATCACAACACGTAAACTACCAAACAGCATATTCGGGTCCTATAGAGAGGCAATAGTTATCAAGACAAATATAATCACTACATCAGCAATAAAAAAAGTGGTCATTCTCAAGCTTTGAAGGATTTGAATTTGTTGTCAAGTGTGTCAAGAGTCTATTATTTATCTTCCACACATCATACGTTGAATTAAATTAAGGGCACGCACTTTGTCTTTTCACTTCTTTTATCCTCAAGAACGATAAAATAGAGCTCGGTTGGCTGATTTCAGTTTCTCCCAATTTTTCTTCCTCAAATTCTAATCCTCTCTTCCTTTTCTTTTCATCTGTTCTAAACTACATACTAAAGCTCAAGGAGATTCAGCATTGGTTATAGGATGAATGAGTTCCTAGGCTGAAGGTCCCTGGTTTCTTTACTCTTTAGGCACATCATTATAGAGGCAAAATCATCAGCTATTAGGACGAACACCTTGTTCTTGTGGATTCCAAGATCAGCCAAGCTCCCTAGCAGGCAGTCTAGGACCTCTAGGTAGGGATGAGGTAATAAAGGAATTGCTGTACAAGGAAATGGGATTGGAACTTTAGATTGTCTAGCCCCTTTGTGTAGTTGATGGGATAGCCCGTCCATGGTTGTTTTTTGCTATCTATATTTCAGGTCCTTCCTCATACTAGTGAGGAATGGTTGTGTAATTTGAATTTCTTACTAATAACAACATTCTTTGACCTTGTTAACAAACAAATAAATAAATAAGATTTGCAAATTTATGCTGTTTAAAAATCATCAATAATGACTTCCAAATAGTTTAATGTTGAATTGTAGATCACTTCTCTAAAAACTCCTTAAAATCATCTAGAACAAGGATAAATAATAAAATTGGAGAGTTTTTCAAAAATTAATCATGTATATAGGTGCTCAATGCAACAAGATGAAAAAACAAACCTAGATGTAGTTTAAAAAAGGGGGGACAAAAAGGAAAAAAGAAGACAAGAAACAGTGAGAGATAGCGGAGATTAAAATACAAATTAAATTACCTGTTCAGATGCTTTTGGGGGTGCAGGAATACTACTCTTAATAGGAGGAGGATTACTTTTTGTAGAAGATGGAGTAGGGTTCTTTCGCTCCATAGAGGAATGTTCAACATTATTTGCATGTCCATGACCACCTTTGTCCACAGGTCTCTGCCTATAAGCAGAAGCCCTCTCTTCCTGCACACCTGATGTTTTTGCTTTTCCATCCCTTGGAATCCATCTTTTCTCTTCATACCTGAGAAATACACGTGAGTTGTTAATCAGATGGAAGGAGGTCCTGCATTGCCCATTACCAAGCACTAGTCTCTTGGTTCCAGGTTAATAGTTATGTTCTAGGGGAAGGAACATACTTTGCTCGAATGAAGTTTTCGATCCCAACTCTGTCATAATTTGGTGGTAGTTCAGCTTCCCAGTAGCTATTTGACTTTTCATTCCCCATTGCTGCATAAAACCAAACAACAAATTGACATGATGAGGGTTGCTCTCTATTATAAAGCAGTTCGGACATTCAGCAGAGAGATTGTGATATTGCACATTATAAATCTGCTTACATTGAATAAATGCAACCTGCTCCGGGAGCCATGTATCCAGTGTAGCAGACCTCACCTGCAGCACATATCCAGTAAGAATCCAGGGACAATATAGAGATAAAAACTGCTATTTTTTGTAGCTTCTAGTTTGTGAAGAGAAACAAAATTCCAGGCGAATAAAAGAAGGAAAATGAATCATATTGTAGGTCAATGTTTTATACAGAAGGACAAATTTGTTGGGCTTCATTTGTTGGTGTGTAAGAAACAATTAGAAACAAAATTCCTAAAAAACAAGCATTCCTCTAGAAAGTCATTTGGAGAATGAGGATAATACCTAATTTTCAAGAAAGCTTCAATTTCCTTTAACTCATTTTCAACCTTTATACAGAAACAAAAAGAGACTTCAGAACACAATACAAACCTGATGAGTAGGCTCACCAGGAAACAGAAATCTGTGAGACCTGAAACCTTCATTTTATGACATTCAGATTGACACATCACAAAATCGGAGGGATATATAGGATATGAACCAGATTCATGAAATCATCACCCAGTACTCCAGTTGTTAGATCTCATGGACAGCATAAATGTTGGTTTATTCAAGGACAGGTTCAATATAAGTTATTAGCTGCTTTTTTTATCAGCAACGCAAAATTGATTCATTAGATTAAAAAATAGAGATACAACAAAGGGTTGTGGGCACAAAACAAAGCCCAAACAGAAACTATTCACTATTCTGCATTTGCAAGGAGTTATTAGCTGCTATTGTTAAAAATATATTGTAATCAGAAATTAAAACTTGAATGCATGCAATAGCCAATCAGGTGCACACCTTTAAGTTTATGTACTAGGAGCTTCGAGCCAATACTAACAAGTGCGGTCATGTTTTGGTGTTGCATGTCAAGGTATCCACTAAGGGCAAGTTAAAGCAAATGTCTTCTTTATCATTTGTCCTTGGGTGCATACAGGTGGGGTGGTGCAACTGGTCTACTGCTGATGGAAGTGCTGCTTTGTCTTTGCAGTTTTTTGTTGGTATGGGTTCCTTTTTCATAGAACTATAGACTTTCTTTTCTTTTTCTTTTTTTTTTTTAAGGATGAAGTTAATATTTAGTACAACCAAGCTAGAGTATTCCAAGTTTCCAACAACCCAATATTATAAGGAAATATACACTTTCTATTCTAATGAAATTTGTTATATATACTTCGTATGCACCCTGAACCTAGCTAACTCATCCATCCTCTCATGAAAAAAGTAATCATTTAAGAAACATGCTAGGTAGAAGCTTGATGCATAGTTTTCAAGGCGCCAAGGCAAGGCTGGGCATTAGGGCGGCGCCTTGTTGCCTAGTCGCCTAGGCGGGCACCTAGGCGATGGATATTTTTATATAGAAAAAACATAGATCCTAGGTACCATAGCCATATTTCCTTAATAATTATTCATAATAAAAGTATAGAGTTCATGTTAAAGTATAGAAAATGTGTTGATTAGACAAAATTTTAAGTTCTTCCTTACTTATTGGTTCAGGTTTTAAAGTCTTTGAGGGTTCAATACAGTATTTAACAATGTTTGTATTAATTAAATCCTAACAAATAAGAAAATAATAAAAACAAATTAGTATATAAACACACAAAATGAACATTTTAGTTTAATAGTGCCTATTTTATAATTATAATGTCAAAAAATAAAGAATAAAAAAGTATTTTACAATACATAGTACAAAACTGCTTGGCGATTAAGCGAGGCGATCCTCAAAGGGCTCCTTGTCGCCTAGGCGTCACCTTGATGATATTGACAATCAGCAAGACCAAGTTCCATTTACCCAAATTTATGCATTCTCTATATATACTTTACAATGAATAATCAGTCTTGGCACCATTAGCAAAAGCAAAGCAAATACAAGAACAAGAGACAACTATGGATAAATGAATCAATTAGGTAAACTGTTTTTCATATCAAAGGAACAGTTCTAGCTAGAATTCTTTTTGAGACACTCCAACAATAATCTTCCTTCCTATTTTCTGTCTCTCTTCCCAATTCCAAGAAAAGTAGCCCAAAGAGTAGAAAAATCGCAGAGGGATTTTTTATGGAAAGGGTGGGAAGAAGAAAAGAAGACTCACTTGGTTAGCTGGGATCAATTTTGTGCTCCAAAAGACAATGGTGGACTAGGGATCAGAAAAATGAAGGTCTTCAATAAGGCTCTTTTGGGGAAATGGATTTGGAGATTTGGCAGAGAAAGAGAAAGCTGGTGGAGGAGATTAATTGCAGCCAAGTATAACCCAGACAATGGGGACAGGGTTACTACCAGCTCCATGATCTCTCTTGGGTGCTCGATTTGGAAGAAAATCATGGAAGTCTTCCCTTTATTGAGTAATGGTCTTTCAGTAAAGTTGGGGAATAGCCGGAGGATTCGGTTCTGGAAGGATGTGCAGCGCACTAATAGACCCCTTGCCGAGATGTTCCCTCAGCTGTTCCAAATGGCAGAAAACCAAGAAGCCTTGGTTGCTGACTGCTATAAGGTTAGAGACAACACTTGCCTTTGGGGCCCCTCTTTCAGAAGAAATTTCCACTGGGAACTAGATCAAGTTTCAGGGTTGTTGGAGATGTTATTTAATCAGTCTCTGGAATTAACAGAAGAAGATTCTTGGGTTTGGTCATGGAGCACAGATGGTCTGTTTTTTGTTACTTCATTTGCCAGGATCCTTTCAACTAATCAATTTGCTGATTTCCCTGCTGATAAAGTCTGGAACCAGACTGTCCCTTCAAAGCTTAATGCTTTGATCTGGGCTGTGGCTCTGGATAAGTGCCTTACTAAGAAAAATCTGGAGAGGAGAGGTATGCAGCTGCAGTATTCTTCTTGTGTGTTCTGTAATCAAGGGGAGGAGGATAGCAGCCACCTTTTTCTTTTCTTTTTTTTTTGCATTGTCCTATCTCCAATAAAATCTGGAACCACTTCTTCTCCTCTAGGCGGCTATCATGGGTCATGCTGCAACTGTTCTGGATCTCTTGTGGTGCTGGGACCAGAGGGGCTTATCTAAAATAGGAAAAACTACAAAGTGTCTGGATCTCAATTCCTACGGCTGTAATTAGCACCATTTGCGATGAAAGAAACAGAAGAATTTTCCAGGATAAACACAACATTGTGGATCAGCTATTGTTCTGTACTGTTGGAAAACTAATTTCTTGGAATGATGTTGTTTTAGGGGTTCAACCAAGGGTATTGGGAGCCCAGCTGAATGCTGGCAGTTTCTAATTGTATTGTTTTCTGGCTTCTTGGTCCCCAGATTTATGGTTTTGGGGCCTCTTGTATTCTGTAATTCAGTTCTGTTCTAATAAAATTTACTTTACTTTCTTCAAAAAGAAACAATAATTCTTACTAGAAACAGTTATATTTGGCGATCCATTTATGCATGTCAAAATCTTAACAAGTAGAAATATATCTTTATATATGCATAACATGAAAACAAAAATATAGGTAAAAAAGTATACCTTTGATATATGCACTCCAAGACTTCTATGGATTCCAGAACACTGCATGCAAATGAAGATTCCCAGATTCACACTAGCCCATCTAGGACCTCTGCATAAAAATAAGTCATTATTAGTAATGAAATAAGGTGGCATCCACAATCCTGGCATGTTCTCAAAAGATTTTGAATTGTTGTAGACATTACTTTCTATAGGCTTTACTGCCTCAATATAGCTTATTTTTTCCTTTTCACAGTGTGATACCTTTTTGCACATCGTCCACCAATAAAAAATATAGGACTACCATGATTGCTTTAAAATACCTACTTGCTTTTGCAATCAGCACATTCCCTGTTTTCTGGTAATTTAAGAAGCCCCTCCAATATCTGTCATCAACACACCAAACAAGATGAATACTAGTAGAAAATCACACAGATAATTTGGTAAACTGTAAATTCAAGAAGGCTTCATACAAGGTTAGCATTCAGGAAAATGTATTAGATGAGTTAACTATAGAAAAAGTATTAGATGAGATATTGATAGAATTATAGAAATCTCCATTAGGACATGGAAAGTTAACCAATTTTAGATGATCTACTTTGAACAATATCCTGATAGCATGGCCAACTCAAGTCTTGACATCTTTATTGTACCTTATGTCTACCATCATTTATTAAGATGCTGGTATCAGGGGGAAGGGTAGGGTGGGAACCTTAAGCTGCCAATTAGCCAAAATGTAGCAACTAATGGTGTTGAGGATAAATTATAAACTGCTGGATTGTTCTGGATTTCATGATAAGTCAGTATAGTTCTTCAGGTATGCAGTATCTAGGAGCTACTTATCGCTTGTTGCAAAATGGGATCAATGAGTTGGTTATACAGGTGTACCATATCGGAAGCAGGGTTCTTTTGGTATCATTGACCTCAGGTTCATCCTATAGCTAAAAAGAAAAAGAGATGCAAAATATCCTTATGTCCAGGAATCCCATTCTCAATAATCAAAAGAAAAATCAAGATTCAGCAACATGCTGGAGCCAATTTCAACAACCAAGGCACCAAAGGACATTTCTGGTAAGTAGCAAGAATGATGAAGCATGGATGTGCATACCCACTCATGAAAAAAAAAACGACTAGCATAAGCCCACGTAATTCTTTCCTGGGATACCAAGATGTCTCCTTCAAAGTTATCCGTTCCTAGACTCAAGACCCTTTATGATTATGGCTTTATCTGAAAAACATTTTCCAACCAAAACTCCATCCATCCGAAACAAAATAAAAGGGAAAAAGAAAAAAGAACAGGTATGAATATAACAGAAAGTAACGAATTGAGAAGGCACGATCCCTTTATTAACAAAGGTCGAGGCTTATTTACAATCCCGTGTTCTGTAAAAAACCATTCTTTCTTATTCTTTGATGATGAACCTCAAGGATGCCGAGAAGTGTGTCAACCAATAATCCAAGCTTGCAAACATGACTCAGGAATCGAATTACGGTACATTGATCCAAGTTTTCAACCCAAATCATGGATAAAAATAAACAGAAAAGATTAAAAAAACAAATCTTGATAACGAATCCGCCTCGGCCATGAATAAATCGGATTTCCACCATACTGGAAACCCTAATTAAGGATCTAAAGTCCAAAAAAAAAAAACTCAAAAATAAGAATAGAAATAAGATAGAACTTGAAAACCCCTCCCAACACAAAATCGCAGAATTGTTTTTTTCTGATATTTCGGGTTCATCCATGATCCAACCAATCAAAATAATAATTACTGGAAATGACGTGAAACTTGAAGCCGTACACAGATCAAGACAATACATTCAATTGAACAATGAAAACCCAAATAATAGAAATCCATTGATAAAAAGAAATAAGATGAAAAGAGGAACCTTTTTGTGCTTGGCATTGAGCTCCTTGGAGACGTTGGCCTTCTCATTCATGCTGACCGTTGCAAGTGCCCGTGCTGCCCGAAATTCGAATGAATTTCAGCAATTAAAGAGTCAGAGAGGGAGAAAGGCAAAGAACAAAGAGAAGCCTCCCTTTCTCTCTCTCTCTCTTCCTCTCTCTCTCTCTCTCTCTATCTCTCTATCTTCTGTGTGTGGGAACCTGAGAATCTGCCGGTGAGGGAACCCGTAACAAGCAAACAAAGAAGGAAAACGAAACCAAAAGGAACGAAGCAAATGAATCGCACTTGAGTTGTGTTCTTGACTTTTTTTTTCTCCTCCTAAATTCTTCTTTTCGCCTGTAAGCGTGTGAAACTGGGTCTTCGGTCTACGTTTGTTATGCCACGCATGTGAACAACGGGTAATTTTTTGGTTTTTCTCAATATGGTCTTGTTTGATTTGACCCCGAGAAAAAAGCAGCAAGAAGCCAAAGAGTAATTAATTAGTAGATGGAGATTATGGTTTTGATTTTATTTTTGGGTAACTTATTAAAGGTTAAATACTTAAACTCACATTACATTATGGTTTAGCAAATTGGATAAAAACTGATCTTACTATTTGTAAAATGACTTAAACACCCTTAAGTTTTCAGATAATGGACTACTATTGTTAGTGTATTATTACAATCCATTGGCATGTTATGTAATGTGATTTACATAATTTTTCTTAATTTTAAAACTATCATTTTTTCGATTGATTTTGCCTTTCATTATTTTTCTAAATTTTCAAAATAAACATAACGGTAATTCCTCTTTTTTTTTAAATCTCCCACACTTCTCGTTGCAGGGTTGCAGTTGTTAGACATTAAAGATTATGAAGTTGATGTTGAGAACCCTAACAATTTTTTTTAGTATAAGAGAAGTCCAACGATTGAATTATCGAAATATAGAAAATAAAAAGGAAGCATATCCAAGTAAGTCCTTATTAAACATTTTATTTTTCTTAAACAATTCAGGATTAACACTTGATAGATATTCAAACAAATGCACACCATCTGAACTGAATAAAAAGGATTTTCATAACACATATTAGTGTACTAGTGGGGACCGTGTGATGCATGAGAAATTTTGAAAGATTAAATAACTTTATTTACTATTAATTAATTGATAGATTAATAATCAAAATTTGTCATTAATTAACTAAAAGTGTTCAAAGTTATTGTTAATAATTATATTTTCATAAAATGTTGATTTATGGAAAATAATTATTGTTAAATTAATATAAATAAATATTTTTAATAATTTTAATTTTATTAGTCATATGTAGTAAGTTTAATAAGTTTATTTTGAATGAAATTTTGTTTGACTTTAATAAATAAAAATAATTACAAAAGATAACACTTTTATTAATGTCATTAATAATTAACAATTATATAGAAATGGCAACGGGGCAGGGCACCCCATCCCTGTCCTTGCCCCGTAATTAAGACACTTTATCCCATCCCCACCCTGTCCCTAGTATTAGGCGGGTTTAGGGCAATGCACCCACTCCCTATTAGGGATAGGGAATCCTTGAATTTCCCCACTTCATCCTCAATGTCGAGCGAGTGCAGGGCAAGGCACCAACTCATCAAGGACGAGGAATCCTTGAATTTTCCCTGCCCCGTCCCTAATGTCAGGCGGGTTCAAGGTAAAGTACCCACTCCTCGTCAATCCAATATTCAATTTGATGACAAAAATAATCAAAATGATATATTGAGTATCAACCACATGGTAAATTTCTAAAAATACACTAAATTGTCTTTAATTTTCAAAAATGTAATTTTATGAAAATTTTGGAAAATTTATCACGTGTGTATTTTTTGAAAATTTATTCAAATATATTTGTAAATTGTTATTAAATAATTTATTTTCTTTTTAAATGGTTTACTTACAGAATTACACTAATTTATCTTATATTTTCTAATATAAATTGACCAATAATTTCCTTTTTCAATGTTATACTAATTTATCTTAATAATTTGTGTAATTATTTGTTCAAATTACAATTTTCCCTTTCAATAATTTATAATGAAAATTACATAATTTTTCATTAGTTTTACAAAATCTATCAAATGTAATAAATTTTGCTAAAATTTCCAATAATTATTTAATACATTTTAAATAAACTTTAAATTTCCAAGATGTTATTTTATGAAAATGTAGTTTTATGAAATTTTTTGAAAATTTTATTATGTTTGTGTGATTATGGAGATTTATTGAAAATTATTTTAATTGTTATTAAATATTTATTTTTATTAGGTAGTTTACTAACAAACATACACTAATTTATCTTTTATTTTCCAATATAAATTAATTAATAATTTCATTTTCCAACAATTCGTATAGAAACTTACACTAATTTTATACTTTTTATAATTGTTAAATATAATTCGTATAGAAATTAGTTAAAGAGTTTTTAATTTCTACAAAATGTTGTTAATTAACATGGATATATATAACAATATTTACCCAAAATACTTTAAAAAGTCATGATGAGTTAATTAATAAGAATATTTATTAATTTTTGGTAATTTACTAACCGTATTTATTAACTTTTAATAATAACACTACTTAATACTCATTGAATATGGATTGGATTAAATATTAACCATATTTAACTATTTATTAATTAATATGAATATTTTAAATGAGAGAGAGTGGATATAGATTGGGGGAGAGATTCTAATAATTGGTTGGGGAATGGGGTAACATGATACATTTCTAATGGCTTAGAGGAGATACCTAAGGAGAGATTCTAGGAATATTTTTAGATAGTTGGGTGGGAATGGTGACATGGCTTAATGGGTGTGGTGGGAAGAGATAGCTTAGGAAATAGATATTAAGAATAATTTTAGGTTGTTGGGTTGAAAACGGTGACATGGCTTAATGGGAGTGGTGGGAACGGGAGATGAGAGAGAATTAAGAACAATGCAAGGTGGTGGTAATGGAGCGCAAAGAGGGATGCTGATATGGACTGTCTTGCTATTATATAGATAGATTTCCATCAAGGAGGTTGAGAAATTAATTGGAAGTGTCCCTATTGTAGAAAGAAATAGGAAATTGAGAGAATGGAATTTCTCTAATATAATGGTTTTCATCGCATGGTTAGAAACATTCAATGGAAACCAATGGGTAACAGTAGAATTAACAGCACAAATTAAAAGAAATTACCCAACCAGAAATTCTAGCAAAAAAATCGTGCTCTCAGTAACTCTTGATGCTGGGTTAGTTGATAATGAAGACCAAATTTGTGAGTGGACTTCGAGGATAATTGTTGCTCATCATGCTACGTGCATAGATTTGATTATTAGAGCACGAAATGCAGACAAAAGGCTTGAATGACGGGTGAAGGAAGAAGAGAAAAAGGGCAGAGAAAAAAGATGAAGAGGAAGACATACCATAATTCAAAAATCAATGAAGTCCAAGTTGTAGGTCTTAAGACTGAACCTGGCAAAAAGAAATATTGGGGTACCAAAATGCAACAATAGTTTGGGGCCTGCTGGTTGCTTGCAAGTGGCATGGGAAAGAGCAACAAACACCCATTTATGACGATGACAAACGAGAAGATCTGCTTGTGATTGGTGGAACCCTCCTTCCTTAGACTCTCTTATAGATCTTACATTTTTTTTTTTATCAATTGGGTTTTATTTTAAAATTTTGAAAAATAATAGAGGGTAAATTCAACATTTTATTTTTTTTTCATTAATATTTAACGATGATGTCCGTTGTTAAAAAATTTGAGGGTACCACAGGTAATTTTTTCAAACAATAGGGTAATTTTTTATCCATTTGCTAAATCATAGGGGTACTTTAATTATTTAACTCATTGTTAAAACCTCTCTTGAAAGGGGAAGTTTTTTATGGTTTGTTGAAACCTCTATTTAATTTTGGTAATTGCAATCATCTCCCATGAACTTTATCACATAGTTGCAAGTATACCCCTTTCACTAGAATTCTCTATCTAACAAGAGGTACAAAAATGTCCAAAATACTGATGCAATTATTATTGAGTTGGTTTCTACATAAAAAAAAAATACAAACTTTATAAACAATAAAAAAGAAAATTTAAAGTTGCAAATTTACATTTGAGTGATTCATATGAAGGGCAAATTTGAAAAATAAATCAATTTCATAAAATAGATTGGAAGGGTTTGGGCTATTAATTCAGATAACTAGAAATTTTTGATAATAAATATTTTTCTCAAAAATAAATGTATGGGTATTTTTGACATTTTCATGCTTCTTTTTAGAGAATTCTAACAAAGGGAATCTGTTTGCAACTATATTAAAAAGTTCAGAAAAGCTGATTATAATTACTAAACTTTAGGAGAAGTTTTAGTAATTTACCTTTTTGTTGGTAAATTATAATAATTTCCATATTAGATTGGGTTGTGTTTGGTAATAATTTCCTGTGCTTTATCTTGGACTCATTATCTCATGCAGATTTGGAATCAAAGGTGGTTGATTGTGGGACCATGATGTGATGATGTCATGAACAAAATGTATATCATGACATGGTCCCCATCCTCCATACTCCATCCTCCCCTCAAATCTCAATCAAATAGGTCGTGCCAACAGATCGGATCTGGGTAAATTGATAATGTTGGATTAGGTAGAGCTGTCAATGGATCGAGCAGATCCTATAAAAACAAACCGTGTTGTCCAACAACTCCTAAATATTATAATTGGATTGGGCGATTGGGATTGATTTTGGTGTTATAAACTCATTAATGGATCGCCAGAGTGTCCAGAGCTCAGATCACAGGCTATTCCCATCCTTACTCACAAGACATTACAGTTGTGTATTGGAAATATCTTTCTTGTGATTGATGGAAAGATATTCCTAAATCCTAATATACATCAGCGATATTATGTGGGTAAAGATGTGAAAACAGTTTGTGAGTAACAGATCTAGAGTGTTGAGACACATCAGGATAGTCCATCCCTATATCCACAAACCTCAAACCCTGATGGTAATGGGATTTGATCCGAGTTTCTGCTACAATCAGTTAGAGATTCCGCCAACTGATTAGCGATTTGATCCGAATCACAGCTAGAACCAACTAGAGACATTGCCAATTGAGCCACTATCAGTTGGTCGTTCTCATGTCATTCTTATGGTATATTTATAATATTTCTATGTCCAAATGTATCAAATGATACATTATATTATCAAATTACGAATTATCAATTATAAATGGGATCCTATCGGATCAGGCTCAGTAGTCCCCATTAATTAATGATTTGGAACTGTTTCTACACATTTATTTATCAGTTTGAGATTGGAACCATATTGACCTTAGCCAGACGCCCAGACCCAACCCA